TACAGGGTCTCTATGAGTCAGAAACGACTTGATGGCATATATATATATATATATATATATATATATATATATATATATATATATATATATATGTGTGTGTGTGTGTGTGTGTATATAGATAGATATAGAGAGAGAATGAGAGCAATAGGAAAATAGATCTGCACGGAGAGTCGGAGGGCGAATTGGAGGGCGAGTTGGAGCGAGAGTTGGAGCGCGACCGAGATTTGGTGTCGTGGTGTGGGGATATGGATTATTCCGTCAGACTCCAAAGCCATTTTAACTGCAAGGCTGGCGGTTCAAGTTCACCAGTTGCTCCTTGGAAACCCTATTGTTATTGTTGTGTGCCATAGAGTCATATAAGATCCATAGCATCCCTGTACAGGGTTTCTGAGGCTGTAAATCCTTACGGGAGAAGAAAGCCTCATCTCATTCCCGCGAAGTGGCTGGTGGATTCGAACTGCTGACCATAAGGTGGGGGATTCGTACTGCTGACCTTAGGTTCGCAGCCAGGTTATTAACCACTACACTATCTGAGCTCCTTATATATCCACTGCCCTACCAGAGCTCCTTATGCACCTACTGTACATATAGGGTTTTCTAAGAGCAGTTGGTGAACTTACACTTCCAACCATCCAGTTCAATTGGATTTGCAGTCTAGCACAATAAACCAAAGCCACATAGCAACACTACAAATATATATATAAATTTATATATTTATGTACGTATGGAGCTCTGTTAGTTTAGTGATTATGAATCTGGCTGTGGATGTCATGGTTAGCGGTTTGAAACTACCAGCTCTTCGTTGGCAGAAAGATGAAAATTTCTGCCTCCCATGAATTTTTACAGCTCTGTTGGGGTAGAGGTTATAAATCAGGCTTAAAACTCACTGAGGGTCAGTAGTTGGAAACTACCTGCTGCTTCATGCTTTAAACATGAAGCTTTCTGCTTCAATAATGATGTAGACCCTCAGAAACCCTGTACAGGGTTTCTAAGAGTCAGAAACCACTTGATGGCATATATATATAGAATGAGTTGTTGTTGTTGTTAAG